CTTTCAGAAGAAATGCAAAAACTTCGTTCTTTTATCCAAAGCGGCAACGGCACGTCTCTGAAAGGCGATTAAAGTGCGATTATCATTTTTGTCTGCTTCTTTTTTCTTACTTTTGAAGACTTACTTATGCATTATCAGACACGACTCTGAGTCTGAGGCGCGCAGGTATTTAGTTCTTGGACTCGATTTATGGAGCAGAGCTGTACACACACACACTCATTTGCTCAATTTCTGATTGCAACAGCGTCAATTATTCAATTGTGCTCTTCTGTGTTGTTTACATAATTTGATTAAAGCATCGCGCGGCACATAATCAAAACTGACATGATAGGCTACTCCAAAGCAAAGTTCTTTCCGTTTCAATTGAAATTGAAAATTATATGCAAAGGGGGAGCACTCACACACACAGACACAAAAACCACACACATGCGTACATATCATACCATATATTTCTATATACATATATCTAATTTACGTACACGTTGAATTTTCAATTATCACCACAGACAAAGCTGGAATTACGATATATGCATATGTATGTATACATTTTATATATACATACATACATATATACTATATTCATACATATATCAAGCGCGAATTGAATCAAAGTTCAACTCGACTGTCGGTCGTCTGCGTTTGGGCATGAGTATAAATATCTCAATAGGTAACAATAAAATGCTATTAAATTATTGTCGCTCCCAAATTGTGCCCCTTACTTAGCTAGGTCTGTCCATGCAATACAGAAAACATGTGTAAGGCATATAAATTCTAGTAATTCTAATTAATAATTTCATGCTCCAAACACACTTAAATTGATTTTATATGAATCGCCACACATACATACATAATTTCTAGATCTATCTTTGTAGAAGGTCAACAGTTCCAAAGTTGAGATAGATTATGGGTTTCTGCTTCTAGTTGGCGTGCCCACATAGTATTTTATCAGTTTAGATGGAAAGATTACCAGTAACAAAAATGTCCAATATTTAGTTAAATTATTTTTATAAAGAATTTTTAAATACTCTATATTTATTTATATTTTTATATTCATTTTACATATTGATAATATATTATATATTCTAATGTTTCACTAATTTGTTCTAATATTTATCACAGATTGTGCTATATAGGTTATATATGTACGTATTATAAGAAATTGAAAGAATTCGAAATACAAATTTAATAGGAATTGATTGTAAAATTGCATAAAGAAATGGAAAATATCATTCAAATTGAATATGCACTGGTCATACTAAAGGATCAGCTGAAATATGCTTATCAGGGTCTCTTAAAGAAATTGTGTTAGTTAAACTTGATGAAATTAGTGATAAATTTAAAATAATAAATTTTCTATGTGAAGTATTGATAAAAAGAGACAGATTATAAAATATCTTAAAATTATTAATCGCATATGGGAAGAAAGGAATATTGTAAAAGATTACTATAATCCATAAAATTCTGCTTTGGTTTGAATTAAACATTATTTAAAAATTATAAAAATTTATATAAAATAAATGAATTCAATATTTACATTTTATATCCCTTTTTTGTACAGCATCGCACAGAGATATTTGAGAACACCAGCATTACGCCAGCACGTAAGTCGCCTGAGTCACTCTGCGAAACGATATGATACTTACAATTTGTAAATATGCCTTTTAGAGCCCATGGAGAACTGGGAGTTCAAGTCGGCACAGCGTGAGGGCTCCAATGTGCTGGGTCTGGTCATGTTCAGCGTAATACTGGGTACAACCATTGGCCGTATGCGTGAGAAGGGCCAACTGTTGCAGGATTTCTTTACGACGCTCAGTGAGGCCATGATGACAATAACATCGTGGGTCATTTGGTAAGCACTCTGTAAAATAAAAGCGGTTAAGAGTTGAGTTAGAGTTTAAATGGTAATTTGCTATTAATTTGTAGGATATCCCCGTTGGGCGTGGCCTTTTTGATCGCGGCCAAGATCATTGAGATGGAGTCCATAGCTGCGACAATACAATCTTTAGGCTGGTATTTCATAACCGTTATGATTGGCCTCTTCTTGCATGGATTTGGTAAGTCACTTACATTGGCAACGTTGACTAAGTTGAGTTGATTAATGAAATTTTGATTTGCAATCAATTTCAGGCACAATTGCAGTCATCTTCTTTTTGGGCACACGTCGCATGCCGTATCGCTTTATAGCCAAATTGAGTCAAGTCTTGGCCACTGCCTTCGGCACGGGCTCCAGCTCGGCTACCATGCCGTTGACCATTAAATGCCTGGATAATATGGGCATCGATCCGCGTGTGACACGATTTGTCATACCCGTGGGAGCTACGATTAATATGGATGGAACTGCATTGTATGAGGCGGTGGCTGCATTATTCATTGCCCAATATCGTGAGATGAGCTATTCGTTTGGCACGATTGTGGCTGTCAGTATAACGGCAACGGCTGCCTCAATTGGTGCGGCGGGTATACCACAGGCGGGCCTCGTTACAATGGTCATGGTACTGGACACTGTGGGCCTGGAGCCCAAGGATGTCTCACTGATCATCGCTGTCGATTGGCTACTGTATGTAGATGTCAAAATTTGTACTTGACTGTTATTTATTGAAATTTGATTGTCTTAGGGATCGTTTCCGTACCACTATCAATGTCATGTGTGATGCTCTGGGCACTATTTTGGTTAATCATCTGTCAAAGAACGATTTGGCAAGCGTTGATCGGGTGAGTATGCATCTCTCATAGATGTAGAATATTAGTTTCAAAATATATACATGTATAACTTATATATACACACACATATGTATAGCTAAATGCCGAGCCCCATGAGCTCCTCGAGCTGGGCACCAGTGGACACGAGATGAAAGAATGAAGGCAGTCAATGCTTGGCGCCTATAATCGCAAACGATGAGTGCTTGAGGACGAGCAGCAGCATGACGATATCGACAGTGATTCCGATGAAGATGGGAATGAGACAATCCACTTGCGTTATCGTCGGCTGGCCTCATCATTTGGTTTGCGGCTAAAAGCGGCCAAGACGCAAATTTTGCAACAGTTGTAAATGCTGTCACAAGACATCAACGAATTTATTTTGCAACGATTGTCTGCGAGGGCGCCAGACATATCGAAAAATCAACAAACAAACAAGAAAGAAGCACAGAAAATAAACACAAACAATTTGGATATTATTCCGTTAAACGTATTAATTAGCATACATCATGATGTAAATAATTATGAATATAATTAAATTAAATTGAGTTCAAATTTAAATTACATTTTCATACTTAGCCATATATATAAATATATATTTAAAGCTAAGTAAACTTGTTATGCAATTAATTCATAATTATACAAATAACTAAATTTCAAGCCATTTGCTATAGATTGTTTATGCACTTCCAAATAGAAAAATATATATATTGAAAAGTAAAAAGAAACATAGAAATTTGTATAAAAAGCACAGATTTGTGTTAAGAACAAAAAAAGACATTAATATATAACTATATTGAATACAATTAGTTTTGCACAAATTTTATGACAGAAGGAAAAATCACACACAAATTCAATGCCGTTTAAAGTTCTTGTTCGAAGTTGAGCTTTGTAAATACTTAATAGCTTAAGTATAATTAAAAAAAAAAACAAACAAAAAAGAAATTAATAAATAAAAAATATTACAAAATATGAACAAATTTTCAAGCGACGCATATTTGATGACAATAATTAATATTGATTAAATGTCAAAAAAAAAATTACTAAATGGAAAGAAACAGTAAATAAAATGAACAGTAATATTATTTATTACATTGCATATTTATGAAAACTAAGTGAACAATTTCAATTTATTAGACAAAAAAAAAAAAAGTATTGAAAATTAATTGATTTAATAATATTAATATTAATAATAATAATAATTATGTATGCATTACCTATGCCATTTGTAGTTTTGTGTAGTCTAAATGTTTACAAAAATAAAATTTTCGAATCTGTACATGTACTTATATAAAATGGACCAAATATCCACTTGTTTCAGAGCTGCTAATATATGTATACTTGATATGAGATAATATTATTTATACATATTAATATTCAGGAACTTCGATCACGAATTGAAATATCTTATGTGCATTAGAATTATGTTCTTATATCGTAATTTGAAGCATCATTTGTGTAAGCATTTTAGGTAAATTAACTAATTATTACTATCATTACTATCATAACACAACAGAAACTAAATAAACAAAATGAGCTACAGCCCGGGGAATGCAAACCTTTGGTAAGTGTAAACTTAACTTCAATAATATTAACGTTCATTGATATTCTAATTAAAACAATTTAGACTTTTAAATATTAGATTTAATTTATGTATATATGATTTATAAATATTAATATAAATATTTTATATTCTAACATTTATTTTATACACTGAACCCATTGAAAATGGGAAATCAGAGTATAACGGTTTTGTTAAAAGTATGTAACAGGCAGAAGGAGGCGTGTCGGACCCTATAAAGTATACATATTTTTGATCAGGGCGACGAGCCGAGTCAACTTAGCCCTGTCCGTCTCTCTGACCGTCCGTTCGTCCGGTCGTATGTATGAACGCGTCAATCTCAGACGATATAAGGTCTAGAGACTTGCAATTTTATTCCTAGGTCCGTTTACCACGCGCATATCGAGTTTTTCTCCTCAAACTGATAACTACTCCCGATATTTTGTTATCGATCAAGCCCTTATCGAAATCTAGTTTTTTAATTATATCCCCTATACCTTTAGAGGTAGAGTCTGCAAATTTTAAATGTAGGCTCATATGTATTTTATAGAATTTTAATTTTTGTTGAAATTGTAAATTTAATGTCAATATCTAAAGTATGTAAAAAACAGTAAGTGTGAAGTATACAGGCAAAATTTCTCTAGCTATTCGGGTTTACGATATAGCTGAACGTACGGGCGGACTGGCGAACAGATAGCCATCAACAACAACACCCTAGTTAAGAACATATATATTCTTTATATACATGTACAAATATACGAAACGTATTTATTCTAGCAATAAATTATTTGAAACACATTTAAATAACACACATTAAAAGTAATCACCAGCTGCCGCATACGTCCTTGGACAGTGCTTTTCCGCATACTTTACATACGCAGTATTGGAAGCGACTTTGATGCGCTCTCCGCTGGACACCTTGTTCCACATGTGTATCATATACGAATCCTTAGTTCTTGCCATGGTTTCCTCCAGGTACCTGGGCTCAGTGAAATGCCTCCACTCTTGCCAATGAATTGAATAGAATGCAGTCGAATTGAATATTCGAAATCCCTTGCAACTCTTACGACCGCCTTCCATGGCTTCCATGAGGCTGGTGCCACAAAATTTCAACAGAACGGCTGTTACAAGAGCTGGTCCATTTTGTACATAATTTTTTCCATTGAAATATTTTTGATAGTGCTGTAAAAATAAGTCAGCAACTTCATGACCTATTCCTTCGGCTGTTAAACCAATGACAGCATTGCATAGGGTATCGGTAGATTCAGCTCCCACATAGTTCAGGGGCAATTTCTCCAAGCTTGTCAGGACAATAATATCCATGTCTAAATAGATGCCTCCAAACCGATAGAGACTTATCAGGCGGATCAGGTCAGATGTGTGATGCATCGGATAGCTGTGCATTAGAGTAGGTGAGTTACGCTACACTCTAAAAGGAAACATGAATATAAAACTTACCTAGAGGTAAGCAAATCGCCCCTTTTGACCCAATCTTCAATAGACGTGTTCATAGCATAGTTCCTTAGATTTAGGTGACGTAAGTTCACGTTCTCATAGCTTTCGATGGCATCGACGAAAAGTTTTTGACGACCGGCGAGGGGACGGAAGGTCGGACACGAGAATACAGTAAAAATTTGGAAGTTCGGATTATTCAGAGCTGCCGATTCTATGGAACAGGCTTGTCGAGCCGTCAGAGTCATAATGTTGGATATCGAATCTGGAGAAGTGCAGCTGGTCTCATGAAAGAAAATGCTGCGTCCTGGCGGAGGCTGCAAGCTCGAATATAGTATGTCCTCAATAAGATTCTCAGTTGAAAACAATTTTGCTTTTAATTTACGTAAGCCGAAAGTTCCATTCGAAATAATAGAAGGGTCCGTGATAGAGGATAGTACGACTAGGAATATTAGAGTAGCAGCCAGAACTGGTATTACGAGACGTCGTCCTATGACGTAAAGACACTTAAACTGTTTCTTCAACATGGTGAACCGATGCGGCTGGGGCTAAACTATAACCACTAACCATACAACACAAAAGTCGACCATCCAAATTGAGCGACCCGAGCAATTACGAAATGTTCTTATTGCTATTGTTATTGAATTAAGAAAACAGGTAAGAGGTAAGATTGTGACTCATTGAATTGAGCAATTTTAGAGCAAGTTAGCCAGTCGAATTTATTACACAAACATGTTCACCGAACACAAAACAGTTTGCCTACTAACTATTCAATTTTGGATTGTGAACAGGCAAGCGGAAGACAACAAAATCGTGTCGCGACTAGAGCTAGAATAAACATGTGACTGTGTGCGTGTGGGAGTGAGTGAAATTGAATTTGAGCGCAAATCAAATCCGTCCGTATTTATTAAGGCGTCGATCTCAGAAGATAAAGAGCTAGAGACTTGAAAATTTTTCCTAGGCCCGTGTATATCACGCGCATATCGAGTTTTTCTCCCAAAGTCGATAACTACTGCCGATTTTTTGTTAACGATTAAAACCCTTATCGAAAACTAGGTTTTTAATTATATCTCCTATACCTTTAGAGGTAGAGTCTGCAAATTTTAAATGTAAATTTATCTGTATTTCATAAAATTTCGATTTTCGATTTAATTTCGATTTAATTTAAAAGGCGTATTTCAAATACTAGAGACTGATGCTTTGGCATTTCAATGTAATGATCACCATCTACATGTTTCATGAAGACAGTCCATCCACAAGAAAAGTTATTAAACAATTCATTTCCCACAGTAAGCCCACACCGCAGTCCATGCGTGCTTATGCGTGCATGCCTATATGTGTCTGTGTGTGTTTCTTGTGTAACCAGAAGGGTTCAGGGGATTTCGTTGTCGAACAGTCTCGACTAGAGCTTACTTACTTATTTTATTTACTATTTCGCAGGTATAGTTTAGTAAATATATATATAGTTCTAATAGTTTTATTTCAGGATGAGTGAAGTTACGAAATACTATTTATGAATGAGTATTGATATACAATATTTTGATATTTGCCGACATTGGAAATTTAATGACTTTATAAAAATTAGTTTTGTAATAAAAAAAATTATATTTGAATGAGCTAAAGTTTGCTGGAATGAATAAAAAATTTGATTTATTTATAGCATCATTACTCGTATATTGTATAAAAATTGAATGAAATTGAGCTCTTTTTGTACAAAGCAGATGAACAACTTTCGAGCGCAGAATCAATCGTGTTTATGTTTACTGGTTGCAAATGCATCAGCTGCATTCGCATTCATATTCTGGGGATCATATGGCAAACCCGTGCAGGTTGGACAAGTGCCCTGTTCCGTATGGACAATCGCCGCGCCAGTATGACCGTAAATTCGATACAAGCACAGCAAACGATGACTAACACACAGCAAGGGGATTAGCAGTATACCAAATATAACTAAGCCCAACCAATAGCCGTTCTATAATCAGATCAAGTTAGTGCTGGATGGACCATATGAATATACACATATGTACATATATTCATGTTTCTACTCACAATTGAATTAACCAAATAATCGCAGATTTTATTCACATTATGGATGTGAATTTGTGCCAAATGGTCACAAGGACCAATCTCATACAAACTGATATTGATGACCATATCGAAGTAGGTGTCAATTTGTCCATGAATAAAGTCGGTATAATTATCAACGATGGTGTTCAGGTAACCGCTGCCAACGCCTTCTATATAATTCTGCGCCTTCATCAGTCTGTCCAATAGAATTTTAATGGATTTGTTAAAATTGTTGTCCCCAAACGTTATAAGATTATCAATTCGGTAAACATGTTCTTCAATCTGATCTATTGTCTGCAATATTGATTTCCCCATGAGCCTATACTTCGACAAGTCTGTCGCCATTCTAAGTAAATTCACATATGCCACTTGCATTCGCTCATCTAGATAGCTACCATAGCTTTCAGCGAAAAAATTGCTTGCCCAATACCGCAAATCGCTAATAAATTGGGGTATATCCAACTTGTCTATCTCTCGGCACAACACATCCATATAGGTTCGACTATGATAATTTGATAAGTATTTCGCCCGTAGCTTAAAGATGTGATGAAACTCTTTCGGCAACATGAACACCAACGCATTGAAATAAATGTCTAACTTGCCAAACTGTAGATAGGTGCTCTCCTCCAAATGGATATTGATTTCTCTCAGTCTCCTAATGTCGTACAAATTATTGTCGCGCAGCATCTCGAAGATCAACTGATCGGCGCGGCACTTTTTGATTCCAGTGGCAAATTCAGACGGTCGATGAAATTCTGTATTGTTTACTGCATTCGATTTCTGTAGCACAGTTTCCAGCAGCGAATGGAGTGTGTTTCGCCCCTCGTCATCGTACAAAATACACGCCGGATATAAGACCAATCCAAGCGTGAAGTAGAACAGACTTATTATCAGTATGAATGACAAGACGGCAAACATTAAAATAATCGCGCTGTAGAGATTTTATATATGTAATTGATATTATATATGTAATTGGATAATTATGTGAGGAATACAGTTTCAACTTACAGTAACATACAGCTCGATGCAGAGTTATCTTTTCGTATGCAAAGCCCAGCTATAAGAGTATAGCTCAATATAATCACAATCTAAAATGTGAAATGAGGCTCTAAGACTATGAATCATTAAGTAAAAGTAAAAATAAATCGGGCTGCTGCCTGGTACTGGTAGCTGGTTTTATATATTTCATAAATTCAAATTAATATCGCATAAAAATATTCAAAATAATTTGTGGGCTTATTTATTTTAACAGCATATGCTGTCATATTTATTTATAAATATATCGCAATATATATTTAAAATTTAAAGTCTCCAGCATTAGTAGTTAATGACATTGATATGAAATAGAGGAATACTGCTATGGCCTATCCATAAGTTTGCCTTACTATAGCCTCCGAGTTTTCTATATGCTTAGGTTTATTTTGAGCTTTCAATAAACTTTGATCTCTATAAATTTAGCTTTCTATTGACTCAAAGCTGTCTACATATTAAGCTTACTACAGACAAAGCTTTCTATGCACTAAGCTTTCTATACAGTGGGTTTCATCGGATTTCATTATCAATAATATTCATAATTTGTAAACTCATAAAAATAACAAATAAAAAAATAATTAAAAAAAAAAAAAAAAAAAAAAAAAAAAAAAATAAAAAAACTTTATGCAGCTTGTCGATGTATATCTTCAATTTATGCGTAGATATTTTACTCACCGTTAGCATGATGAAAAACAAACCGAAACTGGCATACCAACGACTACGGCCATAGTTATCGTAGAGCTCTTCAAAACTTTTGGTGGAATGCATGTTTCGTATAAATATGTTACTCATAGCCCTATAAGTTATGTTGCATATCTTGTGGCTTTCGGACTCTAGGGAATCGGCCAACATGCTGATGCGACGTATCATGGGCGGTATCATCGGGTCGAGAGCGAGTTTGAATTTCTGTTGTTCATCGTACAGGCGATCTAACCAGGATTTCGGTACTCTATAATAGTCTTCATATATAATGTTCTTGACATCCTCAATATAGGCGCTGGTATTTGGCAGCTGAAAATAGATATTGTTATTGCTGTTGTTGTTGCTTTGAGTAGATATTGAAATCTTGCCTTATCGAAATGAAGGCATTGTGAAGTATCCATGTATAAAAGGTTATTGCTTCGAATTATGTTATTACACTCAAAGAAATCGCACCACACGGTAAGAACATACACGAAATCACGCTTAGCCCCACGCAAAGCTACACAATTAGAGAGGTAAATAGATATTAAGATAGCTATATCAGAGATATTTGAATTACCATCACGGTATTGGCTGCCAATGAAAACTAAATAGGCCTGCATTTCCTTCACCTGCTCCAGAAGCGCCAATGCCTCGGGCATATTGTCAAAGATATCCTCCAATACCTCTAATAGATGTAGGCCCGCCTCTGTTCTCAGATCCTTATAGGCCATCTCAGCAACGGCTGCAATTACATGTGATTCCAACATTATTTCAACAATCAAATGAATCAGAAATTTAACCAAATTCTAACCAAAGAGCTGGCTACTCATCGTTGTCGCCAATTCCTCAAAGTTATCGACGAGCAAGTGACGGACATGTAGGCAGACGTCCTGCAGCATGGCACAAGTGTCCCTGTTGCTGCGCATCATTGTCTCGCTGCTGTCTCGCATCGTATTATTAATCAGTTTATCGTTCAGGAATGCCACGACCAATCCAAACCTAAGTGGTATTTACTTTGAATATGTATTTCATATATGCATTTGACTCAACTTACATAGCTCCCAGTATAAGTGGTATTAGCAGTAAACTCAGTAAAATACGCTTAGTAGTATTCGAGGCACTTTGACAAGGTGGGCAAATGGCGTGGCAACGGCAACAACAGAAACAAAAATAACATACCCTACGTGAAATGTGATGAAAATTGCATTAATGAAGCTATAATTACGATATATATATGTATTAATATATGATAATAATAATAATAATATTACTATATAATGTCATCAAATAAAAAATAAAAAATAAATCGTAAACTTGGATTTTGTACGTAATACGTCTATGGATATATTTCAACTTATCTTCAACTCTTACCTATGCTACAAAATGTATGAATTAATTATGAATTCTATATCAATCAAATTTTGCTCTACTTTCTAAGCCGATCCCGACTCTAAAAGCCCCTTGGTGGGTTCTAATACAATATTATGCCCACGGTCGAGCCCCACCGCCTTATATGAAATGAAATTTTTCCATTGTTATGGTATTTGTTTCTATAGACATTTTACATCATATCGTTGAATAGAAGATTCTAAGTAAACTAAACAGAATCCCAGCAAAATGTGTTAAAAAATATGCTTATATTTATGCATTTTACATACTTATATAAGCTGTATATAATATTTAAAATTTATATATAAATATTTGTTTTATTTATATATAGTTGATACTGTCTTCACTTTTTCAAACAAGAGTATATTAATAAGAATTGCAATGGGTATAAATTGGGAAAGAATTTCTTCTATTTTTTACTTACGCAATAAACGGTACGATTATTATGACGGTTAGAAGAAACATCACCCAGACGAGCACGACTGCTTTTCGAGCAATCAAAGATTCCCACACATTTGCCCATACTTTGGGACCCAAAGCATATGAGCTTGAGTTGTCAACGGCAATTACATAACCTACATTCAAATATAGTTAATCAAATAATTATACTAAAAATACGTCTATATATATTGGAAAGTATGTACCTTTTGGTG